TTAGTGAAATACGTTACTTGCAATTGGTTGTAATAGCCAACCTAACTTCAAATCAACCCAACAAACCTCAAAACAAACCAAGCCAACCCTAAAGCAAGCCGACTCAAACCCAAGGCATACCAATCCAATCTTATAGTAACGAATTCCATCTTAAGAAATTGCTCGCAGAAGACTAGACTGCATGCAATAGATTAGAAATCGTTATATTGCTTGAAAAGGACTAAATAGTACTTGCAAATATTGGTTGCAGATGTCTGGAAACTGTTTGGAGAAGATTAAATAGTAGTTACAGAAGTCTAGAAACTGCTTGCAGAATACGAGATTATAATTGCAAAAAATTAGAATGTCCTTACAGAAGACTTGAAACTGCTAATAAAAAACTAGATGCTGCTTGAAGAATACTATATACCTCTTACTACAGAATAGATTCATTAGATACTGCTTATGAAAGAATAGGTACTGGTTACAGAAGTTACAGAAGACTAGATATTGCTTGAAATGACTAAATCGTAACTGTTAAACCTAGAATTCGGTTGTAGGAGGCTAATATTTGCTTCCAGAAACCTAAACAGCAGAGGCATAAGCCTAGAAACTGCTTACAAATGACTAAATAGGAGATGTTCTTACGACATCTCAAGTGAGCCAGTTTACACGAGACACTCAAAGACGACGAGGAAAACGACGACGATAATGACGACCAATAATAAATAACCCTATTCAATTCCAAATTAAGTTAAGTTAACCCTGTTGGGTATAGTCAATTCATGGCCGAAACAATCAATGTAAGCATTCTAAAATAATCGTTACATTCAAAATCTGCGCAGAGCTAAGCGCTAACCCCATTTTTGTGGAACCAATCCGTGAATAACCTTGACGATCTAATAATCCTGCTTAGAGGAAAGTACACTCGTACACTCTGTAACAGAATACCGATAACATTTGATATAACTGAGAAATGGAGAACTTAGTAAAATAAGTTACTTGCAATTGGTTGTAATAGCCAACCTAACTTCAAATCAACCCAATAAACCTCAAAGCAAATCAAGCCAACCCTAAAGCAAGCCGACTCAAACCCAAAGCAAGCCAATCCAATCTTATAGTAACGAATTCCACTAGGCTAGACTGGATGCAGTTGATTACAAACCGTTATATTGCTTGAAAAAGACTAAATAACACATGCATAATTCTAAAAACTGCTCGCAGCAGACTAAATATTGGTTGCAGAAGTGTGGAAACTGTTTGGAGAAGATTAAATAGTAATTGCAAAAGTCAAAAAACTGCTTGCAGAATACGAGATTATCATTGCAGAAGATGAGAATATCATTGGAGAAGATTTGAAACTGCCAATAAAAAACCAGATGCTGCCTGAAGAAGACTATATACCGCTTACAACAGAATAGATATTGCTTATATAAGAATAGTTACTGGTTACAGTTGGTTAAACTATTGCTTGAACTGGTTAAATAGTAACTGCTAAGTCTAGAATTCGCTTGTAGAAGGCTAATATTTGCTTCCAGAAACCTAAATAGCAAATGCATAACCCTAGAAACTACTTGCAAATGACTAAATAGGAGATGTATAGGTTTAAAAATCGCTTGAACTAGGTGGAGTAAAAGCAATATCTTAATGTGAAGTGAAAGAAATAAACGAAATCTGGCGCCGGCCGTTAGATCTAACATTCTGGCCAGCTATTTCAAATCGGCAAAACGGGAAATCATACGGCCCTGAAATTGATGATTCAAAATCTGTAACGTTGCCCGAGTTCTGCGTGCAGTTTCTCCGCCCTGTTGAATATTCGAGACCTAATTCAGCAACTTGCGGCTGCAAAACTCACTTAACATTTGCATGTAAATGTCTTACCAACTAGTCACTTTGAGAAGATGCAAAGCATTTCATGTAGATTCTCCGTTCACCAAACACGCAAATTTTGTTTATTCACATATCCGCTTAAGTGGAAATAGACTTCGTCGTCCATTATGATTTTGGATACGAAATCATTGTCTTCTTACACCATGCTTAACAGAGTATGTTTAACACCTGACTTTGTACGGAAAGATCTTTAGACCCAAATTGTTGTCTCGTTGATGTTCTTACGACATCTCAAGTGAAGCCACTTTGCACGAAATGAAGACGACGAGGAAAACGACCACGAAAATGCCGACCAATAATAAATAACCCTATTCAATTCCAAATTAAGTTAAGTCAACCCTGTTTGGTTATAATTATAATGTTATTCAATGCCAAAGTAAATCTCCACAAATTCGACACAAACCTACAGCAGTTAATAATCAACCTAATTTAGATGTGGTTTGCTATTTTCATGGACTCCAACATAACATTTCATCCTAGATTGAATTATTTCTTTGTGCATGTCTATCTTAGTTGCTTTTACTGTGTTTACTGAGTTATTATTTACTTTTGATACTACGATTTCTGGTTAGTTACATTTGTTTCGATTTCTTTTTTTTTTTTGGTCAATCAGTACCATATCCGGTCAATCAGTACCATATCCGATCTGTTACTGAATTTCGTCTAAAGAAGAGAAATTGAAATATGTAACTTGCAGATAATGTTCTTTTGATTTTGAGGTTGATGCAAAAATGTTGGACATATCTTTTTAATATTGAGTTATCCATGCAAATTCATCTACCCGCATCCCTTCTTGATTTAGCAAAAAGTGTCAAACTCTTTATGTACTCAATGTTTATTTAGCAACCTCTACTCTACATCTAGGTGAGTTAGATCCCCATCATTTACCTCCAATACTAGTATTACCTACATATATTAAGGGTCTAAGACACACTTAGATTAGTTTAATTCCATTCCAATATTTATAGACCATCCTTACGATTTTCCTCTGATTTTTCATACGACTCAAACCTCAAAAAGTTATATTATAAATCTTAGTTATTTCCAATATAAGGATAATAACAAGTATACTTGGCGTTTTACCCATAATTCTTGGACACCTATATACACTCTATTCTAGTTTTTTCTCTCTATCATTTCCTTCGGGTAATAAAGATGTCACAGCGCTGCGATGCTACTGTATAATTCATTGGGAAACTTGAGATGGCATGCATCATTAATTAAAGGAAAATCAGGTTTCGTCTAGTGGCGTAACTTGGAAAATTAGAACTGTAAAGCCATGGGAAGCTATTAATTAGGTTGAGGATGTACACGTTGTTAAATTTTTAATGGCAAAGAAGCTAGTTTTTTTTGACGTCAACACAGGTTAAATTTAACCGAATCAAAATCCTGTTAAGTACTGAAACGTTTTAGTTTACACGTTACGGATTAGAATTCTGGTCTTGATTATGTGGAAAGGATTTAGAGGAGTACCTACGTTAATTGCGAACTAATGACTTGTTGTCGGTGTAAACATAGTAATTAACGTTGTAATGGTCCATTTTAGGTAAGTCGAGTTAAATTGAAATTTGGGAAACTTTAATTCTGCGGTTAAATGTTAACAGAAAAAATTTCCCCCGCTCATTTCTATTTATTATGCACACCATGAGATTTATGATGCTTTTAGGAGAACTACAATAATAAATATTTCAGCACGAAACCTGAAACGTTGCCGTGAGTAATTTACCGAAAGAATAGAGAAATATGACCATGCACTACTTTTATTTAATTTTTTACTTACCGCATAAATCTATTAAATTGTCATTAAAAATTAAAAAAATTAAATAAACAATATAAATTTTATTAAAATAACATTACAGAATTGTCAATAACAATTATAATGTATATTTTGCATATTATGTATAAACTTAGGTACACATATAGAGTAAATGCTTTATTTTCGTTCACATCATCGCTATATAAGTATTTATTTAATCCACAATGAATAATACATAAGTCGATTATAGAGAATTGTTAATTAATACGTTTTTGGCGCATAATTAAAAAAATGCGCTTGTTTGTTAGTTTTTTTTTTAAATTTTTTTTAACTATATTCCACAAAATGCCTTAATTAGTAGCTAAGTATAGGTACTGCGTATTTCTTCTTAGTGGACGGCTCCCTATATAACATTTCTTCATAACTATGAATGATTTTTTTCTGTTTTTAAGTTTTAAATTTATAGACAATTAAATCTATTGACTATTATAATAGATATGGAGTAATCATACTTTTAAATACCGTTATTAATACTTAATTTATACGCAACAATAATCTTACAATTATATAAAATGTACAAAATTGTATAATTGTATATTAGTTCGTTATTTACAAAATTCATTGTTATGATTTTTTTTGTTTTAATAGATAACACAAACTTACTAGCATATTATGTGCAAAATAACTTCGAATTTATCACAGTCTCTCCCAATTGAAAATCAAAAATGATGCCGCTAACCCACTGTGTTATAAAGATATGTTTTTAAGCGAATACATTGAGTTATTCTTCAGCAAGTTTCCCAAATTTTTGGAACCTTTAAAGATCGACGTCACGCGGAATAGGCCGTAAATAGGTCATAAATCGGCTTTAGTGCCCATAACTTACAATTTGATCGGGGAAATTTATTATCGGCCGACAGATCCAGCGAACATTCAATTTAACGGCGCAAATACAGTAGTAAGTTTGTCCAATAGCTGATATATTGCACCATCCCAACCACCAAGTTGTATATGTACAGATTAGAGAGCATTTTAAATATACAAATTTAAAAAGAATTTATTAAAATTGGCTTTGTTAAATTTAATCTAATAAGATTATATGACTAAAAATGTAATAAAAAATTAATAAAGATTTAATAAAAATTTAAAATAATGTGTTAAGTAGAAAGTTAGTTATAGATATAAGTACCTTTTTGAATTAATTGATTTAATTGAATGTTTATTAATTAATTTTAACTTCTCGTCTTTGAGCATCAATAACGTCGTCCACTTAAAACATAATAAATACGTAATTTTCGTAAGTCTATACTAAAATTAGCTTCTCATAGACTAGTTTAATTGGTAATGGAGTAACTTAATTAATATTTTAGCGTTTCAATTCCGCTCTTTAAAACGTCTACTCGATTATGAGCGACGGCGACCGTTCCGTTTTACTTTTCCTACTCTTGATTGTAGCGAAATTACTTCCCCTGAAAAGCAAACAGTTTTAAAAGAACTCAATACGCCTCTGAGCGAGACAAGCGACATCTAGCCAGCGCACTACTACTGAATTCATTCGATATGAAGCGGAGATAAGCATGCTAAAGTAAATAAAATTATTTCCGTACGGAAGCGTCCAGTCCCCAGAGGTCATACCATGGGCCGTACATATTCCCAGCTTTCTCATTGAATTCCCCTTTCGTTCTTCTTTTCAATGATTCGCCATACTCCATCAAATCTTCTTGTTCTTGTCGTGTTGAATTGGAACTGTTTGTTTTCGTTAATTTCGTTCTTGGCAAAAACTGTCTCGTTTCAGGTCCTTCATCGAAATCGTCGTACTTCAATTTCTCTTTCATCTTGTCATTCGAATTCCGATTTCTTTGCATATTGTTTTCGTGATTATCCAACTCAGAATCGATACTATCGTAACTCTGTTTATTACGTCTCTGAATTTCATGGTTATTGTTGTGATTATTACCATTAACGTTTCTCTCGTTATTTCGTTTCCTCGATTGTTGATGATAGTATTTTTGTACATCCCCATTGAGCTCGCTTTCCCCATTCTCGGAATTTTGCGACTCAATTCCGAACGTTTTGAAACTATGTCGTTTATTACCGTAAGTCATGTCGTCGTTTATCGCGTTCATTTTTGAGTCGTTGTTTTTTCGGGTGATTTTTTCGATGGATGAGCGGTTGTTGTTGGTGTCGTTTTTGTTTGGGGAGTATTGTTTTGAAAGTTTTTCGAGTTTTTTTCCAATGGCGGCTACGTTCGAAAATTCTTCGCCTTTGTGTGGTTTGGTTGTTTGGTCATCGACTAAAATGCAATCGTATGGGTCATCACTGGTTATTTCTGATTCAGATTCTGAATCGGGTCCAGTTGAATCGTTGGTGTATTGTTGCAGAATTTCCTTTCTATTGACGGTTCTTAACACTAATCCATCACCGCTATCTTCGTAGAATTGATCGTCGTTGTTTCTTATGGTGCTGCGCTCAAACTCATCATCAAAATTATCGTGCATGTTATTATTTACTGATTCCTTCCTAATCGGTGGCATTAAAGTGCCATTTTTAACATCGCGATAAGCGTTGTTATTTCGTGAACGATTCGAGTCATTCTTTTTATATTCTTTTTCCATCGTTCTAGTTTTAGGGTTAACATTCTTTATTTCTAATTCATCGTTATAATATTTCGCATTTAAAGTTTTATCGGAATCGTTAGATCTATCCCTCGGAATTTTCCTTGGTTTTATTGACGCAGTTTTCTTCTTGTCATCATTCGTTGTTGGGACATCAACCAAATCTTTATGTTTCCACAAAGCCATTCCTTCCAAAATCTCATTATCAGAAGATTTCCCAAATTTCCAAAACGATTTAGTTCGTTTAACGGCTTTCTTATCGAAGTTAGAAATTGTATCGATATCCTTTTGGCTGTTATAAAAGCGCCTTTCAACTAAATTTCCAGAACTATTGGATGGTCGGATTGAGTGCATTTTCTTTTGGTTTGGAGGTTGATTCGAAGTGCGATTGAGAGCTGCGTCGCTGTTAACGCGGTGGTGCTTGTTGATGTTTGGACTAAGGGGTGCAAATAAAACAAAAAAGGAAGGACAAAATTAAATTAGCTAATTTTCGACGACGGGGAGGTCGTTAAATACCGCAGTGATTAATGCGGCGATTAATTGATTGCAAAGGACTTCGATATGGTAGCCGGTGGACGTGATAGTGCACCGTTAGATTTGTAATTAATAATCGACCATCTGGACGTAATGTTTTGCGCACACACGTTATCCAGAGAATCGATGCTTCAATTTGTATTAATGGAAAAGTGAATCGATACCAAATTAATTAATGAATTTTTAAGAATCCCCGTCGTCGCAACATGCCATGCTAACAAACGTAAAACTCACCGGTTTGGTAACTTAGTCTGTCCCGAAATACTCTCGTCGTCTGAATAATCAATCTCGGGTTGGGGTGGTGGATCGTTGCTAAACCCGGAATCGTTGCTGCTGTGCAAAGAGACATTTCCAACGGGACCACCGATTTTACCCCCTTTTCCCTGCAAATGCAACGGCAGTGGTGCAACTGCCGTAGGCCTATCCGAGCGTGAAGGTTGGGGATGCGTCGAATACTGGCCAGCGACGGTTTGCGAAGTTGCATTAAAATTAAAGTTGCTCGTGGAGCTTTTAATTCCCGCAGGTTGGGAATACGGGGACTGGAATGAAGGGTCTTGTTTTTGTTGTTGTGTTGAGGACGAGAAATTAGCACTGTGCGATTGGGCGATTCCTGATTTGTGATAAGGAAGGGATGGAGTTGGTACAGGAGCCGGAAGCGCTGGTGGAGGGATGTTGTTAGAGCCGATCGCCCGGCGAATCTGTAAATAGATTAGAAAAGAAGGAACGTTAAATATATGAATAAATGGTGAAGCCGAATTCAAGCGATCGATTATAGTGCAGTTTTTGCTACCTGCTTAGCGTTGGCTGAGGATCTGTGTAGATGTAGGGTGTCTCCAAACATACGGGGAGTTGGGTTTTCTAGTGAAGCATTATTACCGACTGTACTGGTCCCACCTGTTCCCGTATTGGTCCCGGAATTGGTCGGGGTAGATGGGTTTTGATGGTTACTCGAAGATGCATGTGTTGGTGAACCACTACATAAAAAATTAATAACTTAAAACTCAATTTCATTACATCAAAAAAAAAAAAAATCTAGAGATTACATGTAATTTAAAATTTATTACCAACGGATAAAATTTCCTAGAAGAAAATTCAAAAACAACCAAGTTAAACACAAAATATTAAAAACACGATTACGTCGTTCCTCATTCTTTGAAAGGTCGTCTTTGAAATATTCTGATTCTTTTTAGTTCACTTTAATTAATTCCCCTTCAACTTTTCCTTTATTCAGAATGTGACAAACAGGAATATTACCCTTTTCTGACCCGAGGCAACGCGTTTGATGTCCAAGATAATTAACCCCCGTAAAAAAAGGAAATCGCCGAAGACATCAATCAGAGTGAGAGAGAGTGCATCGTCTCTAATGAAAATCGCAACGATTCAAGTTGGTTCTCATCCATCTCGCCTCGAGTCGAGTTAATTTGCTATTAATTACCATATAAATGGATTTACTTACAATGATGAATCGTCCAAGACTTCTGTGTACGCCAACGGGAACCAACCGCTGCACTGAGTGCGCAAATTTTCTCCAAACTGCCACCCTTTGGTCCTTTCGCCGATTAGGGCGATTAAGTCGCCTTCCAGAAAGCTCAATTGGTTCTCGCCGCTTGATAGATACGCGTAAAGAGCTCTCGCGAGTTGTGTGTCCCATTGTGGGGGTGGAGGGACTGCTATGGATTTCGGACGGCGAGTCGGTGTTTCATCTGCAATAAAACGCATTCCTCCTATTATGTGCTCTCAATTTCGTCCTTCATATGAAAAGGAATAAGAAATAAATGAAATTCTTCCCTCGAATACGAATGAGGAGGCTCCATATAACGATAACAATAATAATGACGCATTTTATTTAAAAATCAAATTAAATTTACTCATTTCCTGCGTTTTAACGTAATATTAAAACGATGCGAATAAAAGCGCACTTTTAATTACCTTGAACTAAAGAATGAGTGGACGAATTTAAATTGTATTCAGATTTTGCTCTAGATAGAGTAGTTACGGGCGATCCAACGTCTCCAATGGAACGAATATCCAAACAGGATGCATCCATACTTTTTGTTTTTCGTAATTGCGAGCTCAAACTTAAACGGTCATCATCGAAATGTGGACTTCTTGGATTGGAATACAAATCTTCATCTTGCCATACTGAAATTTGCTGGAAAAATAAATTATATTAATAAATTAAGTACTTTTTATTGAATCTCCATTCTTATCAGGATTAGCAATCATTTTTGTTAAATATTTTATTATCACGAACCTAATATTTCTTTAGATTATTCAACAAATTTTTATTTGCTTTAAAACGGGGTGATTTGTGAATCTAGTACTACAACAAGACTTCTTGTTGTTTGGCTCTTTCAGTGTAAAAAGATTCTTGGGAACTACATCAAAGTTATAAACTCACGACTATAACTTACGATCTTTCGTGCGCACCTTATCTCGCGATTCGTTGTGTTCGTAAGTTTGTTAAAAAAACATATGGAACATTGATGCAACTTAGGAGGTGATTTCACAACGTGAAAGTGGATATCTAATCTTCCTAAAAGTATTATGTTCTTCCAACGCTCCTTTCTGAATGTAAAAGGTTTCTCGTTAGAGATTGAATAATTCAACTAAACCGACGTGGTAAGAAAACCTATAAGGAATATCTCAATTTGTCTTTGATTTAATTTATAAGTTGCTTATTTTTTTTTTGTTTTCTGCATCATAAGTTTTCAAAGTCGTGCAGTTTAAGAGATTGAGTCAATCCCACACCTTAATACTAAGGCGTTGTGTTGACATTCGCAGCGATACAAAAAGTAGTTTTTAAAAATGTATGTAGTTTTATCATACACCATTAGAGAGCAAGATATTGAATTCAATTGTCCATGAAATGTTAGCCAGCGCAACTACGCATTTTTTGTGTCGAAGAGTATTTATTAAGTAAATAATGTGGTGTTGCACCGTTACTAGTTGGGCATTTATGATTAGCACCTGATAGATTCTACTTTATATTCGACAAAGACGATATTGCGGTTGTCGATCACCATGATATGCAAATTCAAGCTTTTAAAAATGTGTGGCATTTAATTTAACAACATTGCAATAAAAATGTAAATTGGTGACCATCTTTGGGATCATATGGTATTATGTCTTGAGCCTCGGCCGCAAGCGACCTCTTCTTAATTTGGCGAAATGATATGTTTACCATCCATAATCAGCTGAAAGCCTAGATTCTTTATTTTAAATTTAGCCAAGGTCGCTTGCAGCTGAAGCCCTGCAATGTGTGCTCTTCAACAAAGCATCGATGTGCTTTGAATTATAAAGTAACGTCTCAGCCGATAGCTGCTTTGGTGTAATTAGGCTAAATCCTACATTTTCTGTTCTGAGTGTACCAAATGTCGCGACCGAGTATGTATGAATCAGTATTGGATAGGTTTAGTATTAATTACACCTCGGCCACAAGCAGCCTAGACTTAATCAAACGAAGATATAGATTCTCAACCTAAGTTCAGCCATGGTGCTGCATTTGATTTTGATTGCGCAAGCAATCATATTGTTGATGACTGTAAAATTTTTGCTAACATCAGGTCTGCTTCTGACTGTATTCGGTTGCAAAATGACATTGACAGATTTGATTCATATTGCTCACAAAATTACTTATTTCTAAATCCTGATAAGTGTTGTCAGATCACGTTCAGTAGAAAGAGATATAATGTTAACTTCAAATATAAGCTAGGTCCGCATTATTTTACTCAATCCTCTACAATTAAAGATCTTGGTGTTGTTTTGGATTCTAGACTACTCTATCGTGATCATATTACTTCTATCTTAGAATTTTTCTTGTACGTGTCCCGAATATGAATAAATAAAGAAATAATCATAGATGACAGCAAGCGAAGGCATAGATTCTTAGGCGCTCCAATGTACTGTCTACTTTTGTGTTATTAATAGAATTATTAGAACCACTTCCACAAGCCAGCTCATCTTAATCTTAATCAACCCCAGCCTTACTATCATATATTTTTCACTGTAAGTTTAGACAAGGTCATTTGCAACCGAAACGTTGCGATGTATTGATAAGTTTTGGCTTCATATGGTATTAATTACAGAGCTTAGGCCACAAACGACCTCGGTTTAATCAAATGGAGTTATGAATCTGGTATTAATTGTATTAATCATACATTTCCACCATAATTAGACGAACTCCTAGCATCATGGCGCTGTGTTGCGTTAACAACTTTTGGATCCAAATGGTAATAATAGCAACGTTTCGGCTAAATTACTCAAAATCATGTATTTTATGTGTTATGTCTTAATTTGTTGTATCAAAACGAATTCTGTTATCTGAGTCGACACTGTACTTGATTGTTCAATAATTCTACCAATTTATAAGTTTGGAACATATCGCCAATGGAGGTGACAATAGAATTTGTACTTGCTTATTATGATTTTGCAAGTTGCGCATGAATCACTTAGAAAGTACGAAAATATTTTCACGCCCGATCGATATTGAGATATTGCAAGTTCTAGTAAAAAGCTCTTTGCCTTTAAATTCACAAATTTTTTCTTTGTGAAGAAATACGAGGTCAGTTCACCACATTCTTAGTTCACACTAGTCTGCCTAAGAAAGTTTTGGTGTTTCTTAGTGACTCCTTATTTGAATTATCATGAAGATTAACTAATACCAAGTGGCTATAAAGTTTTGCTTATACAAAAAACAAGAACATTCTTGATTTTGTTATTATATTTTTGTGTTACAAAAAATGTTATCTAGATGACTGAACTTTTATCATATCAATATATACTCTATTAGCATACTCTGCCATTTTGAATTTAAGAATGTTTTGAATGTTGTAAAAGCAAATCTAACGGAGGGAGGAGGAATGGTAAGAGCAGATACCAGCGCATTCTAGCCAAGTTAAGCTTCCTATTTAAAAGCAGGTTTATGCAAAACTTGCATACCTTTCAACAATCTTTCATTGAAAATGCAAATTATGGGTACTTTTTAGTAAATTTAAAATATACATCAGCAAAAATTTTGTCCCGGTAATGAAAAAGTGTACTTCAGATCATTTCAAAAATGAACTAATTGATAACTGCGGCTTGGTTCTGATAAACAAATCGTTAATGAGCTAAGGAAAAATCACTGCTTTTGGTGATGACCACGATCTTAAACATATTATCTAATTTTCGTTTGGACAGAGACACAGCCATGAGTTTTGAGTTTAATGGATGCGCAACAATGGCTGAAAAAAGATCGAGTATACAACAAAGAATTAAGAATTAAAATGAAGCACTCCAAAGCAAACATCCATCTTAGTCACACAGACTTAGTTGACCTGTCCGCGGTGCTAGCATAAATTTTCTTGATGTTAAAAAGTACATAAGAATCATTATGAATGATTCTGTGAAAAGTATAAACGCATAGAAAACCAGTTTTTGAAAAAACGCATTCATCATCAGAGATTTCGCCACAAACTATTTAAAAAAAAAGTAAAAATAGGGACCGTATTCCCAACTGTCCAATTTATGACTGTATGGTACCCCAATTTTTATTCCAACTCCCAATTTTTCAAAAAAAAGTATAATTAATACTTGTTCGAAATCCACAAAAAACTTTTTTTCATTTACCTCGCGATTCACACAAAAATGATGGACAAAAAATTTCAAATTTGTTTCTTTTTGTGAAAAAATTATGCAATAACGATATAGTTTCAAAATTTAATCATACCCTTATCCTGTTACTGAAGATGTTTTCAACAGTTTCCGGCAAATATTCGCGTGTTTTAGCTACATCAGACCATTTCTCAATGTTTTGTTGGTAGATTGACATCCCTTGAGTGTGATATGACAAATAATGTTTAGCCAACGAGCAATGTCTTTCCAGCACAAATCCGTATCTTCTACGTTCTTGAGTCATAGCCTAAAGAAGATTTATTAAAAAAGAAGTAAAATTATTTTTTTAAATTTTTCTTACATTTTTTAAACTTTGTTCACAAAAAGAATCCAATTTCGTTTTTTCCTCCTCAAGAACTTGCATATTCTGTAACATAAAATCACATCATCATTAAAAATTCTTAAAGAATGTAATAAAATTGCTGTTATAACGTGCATTATTAAATCGTTTCGTTTTCCGTTGCTGAATTGTGCTCGGTCTACAAATTAAATTTCGCGGTTAGCATCGATTCATTTTCATGCGAGATTACGTTACAGGGACCTTTTGTCCCTAAACACTCGCAGAACACGAAGCAGAGCTTTGTAATTGAATACAGTGCGAATTTATGATGTTATCAGCTCGGATGGCTCGAAGCGGGGCCATCTAACGGCTAACAATTGAGTCGGTCAGCATCCGGTCGGTTCGAACCTCAATTACATGCACAAAGAGAATATATTGGTGTATTTCGAGTTACCTTTAATTCCTTATCCATAGCCAGACCAGTTTTTGAAGACGTTCTCGATTTCTTTCGTTGCTTTTTCATCATTGCGGCCGCTTTACTGTACGTTTCCGAACGTTGTTTGTGTTGTTGCAAAAACCGTTTTTGTTCAGACTTAAAAATTTAGAACGTGTATAGAAGTTGGATTTAATCGCGATTAAAAATACTTACTTGAACTACTTTAGTATCTTTCTCCAAGTTTGTTTCTAGAGGTACTAATAGGTCGACGTAGAAAGCTTTCAGCTGGAACAAATAGGAGTTTCACTTTTTTTATTTCTTTTTTAGAACAAAGAGGAGTAAGTGGAATTAAAATCTAAAAAACTGAAAATAAAAGGAGGTTAAAATGGGAAAAGTAAAGAGGATAATTGCATTAATGGGAACGTTAGCACGACGGCGACATTTCGTATTATTCAGATGTTACCTAAAAACTAGATTTTTTTTGGATTTTTGATAAACTCTTAAATTGAAGAAGCGAAATTTCGTGATTATGTTACTTGGATCTCCTCCAACTCATATTGATTCCATACAATTTAAACTCCCTCTTCCGGTGAATAATGCAACTTGAGTTTACTTACTCAGCAAAAATGCTTGTTCGCTTTAATAATGTTTACAGCAAAAACATTACATTGTGTACTTACAATATTCATTTGTTGGTCTTGAATTTCTTTGTAAACCTCGACGATTTTCATAAGGGCTGCTCCTGAAATAAAAAAACGAATAATTTTAAGACGTAATTTTTAAGCGTTGATAAATAATGTGATGTTGTCATGTGCAGAACTCATCAGGGTATCACAGTGGGCGTTTCGGCGCAATCCATCTCAGATGCACTGCACGTAACGCGTGACATATGGTTGTGGAAAATCCGGGGGAATAAATAAACTTTGAAATGGTGTAAGTGAAATAATGCACGCGAACTTTAGAGAAAAGAGGAAAGAATATCTTCCGTAAAGTTAACGACTGACTGACGTTGTATACGACCGGCTTACATATATCCGGGAGATTTTTCAAATCTGCGGATTTATGACACTTCAAACTGGGTGACATTGAGCTTGAATTGAGCTGATCTGCTCGGCCGGCGTCCCAATAAATTCCCATATTGACAAATAGCTAGACTTTGTAGCAAAAAAACAAAATAGAAAGAATTGCATCGTGTTCTATTATCCTATAAAGTGTAAAGGAAAAATGTTTGCATAAACCTACCCGTAACCGCTCCATGAACTTTATATCTCCCCCCGTATCATAAAGCTCGGATGATGCACGCAGTAAAATACGGTAGCATGCACACATTTTACACGTGTAACATCAAGCGAGGAAAAAATAGGAAGCTGCCATAAAAAGAATTCTACGATAAGAAACCCCCTACAACATCATGTTCCTACACCCATCAATTGTTGCACAACAGAAATAACCCCCCCTAAAATTTAATGGAATACAAGATGCGATTCTGAGTTGTGCGAAAGTGAGATTTAGTGACCGTGTAACGGGGTAGGGCCAACGAACGATTTAATCGAAAAAGTTAGTACCTTCGAGAGACCAGCGCAACAGTCCACAACTCGGACTTTATTTATGGAAGGCAACTCACCGAGACAAGATCGAGGCGGGAGCTTTCCAGACGAAGATATAAACTACTAGCACAAGTAATTGGCTTTTACATTCGATTAGATCGGAAAATATATGGATGTAGATAAAACCATGTTCGGATTTAATGGATAATGCAAACGAACAAGTTTGCCTAATAAAAATTGAAATTTCGACAAACTACTTTATCTGATTGAAATAAATCTATTAAATTACTCCTCGATTGAGTCGAATATAGAACGTCGAAAGTTGCAAAACAAATTTTTAGAAAAGTTATAAAATTGAATGGTTGCTTATTAAAATTGGAACGAGTAACTACACGTTTCAGTATTTGCCAGAAACAATTTCAATCAACCTAGTACCTGAAGCGTGCCGTTGTGGTAACTAGCATTCCACAAGGTAATAAGCTAGTTAGAACACGTACGCGAGATTGTTGACCCCGCCCCAATGTCGATCCCCGGAAACAAGCGAAAGGGGATGCGAATCTCGCCCTCCGATCCGCTTTAGTCCTATATAATACTGAAACAGATGGATATGTATCGGGAAATTGTGAAAGTTGGGCGCCACGATGCCGTTTCGTAGAGTCGTTTTCGAGATGGGATTTTTATTGGGATTTTCCTAACGGTTTCCGGATATCGAATCTTCTCGATTTTCAAGTCAGAACGATTTTTTTTCAAAGAAACACGTGCAAAGTCCATAACTCCAGTTTTAATTTAAAAAAGCGAGCCCCTTTTCCTTAATAACTACGACACTCCTCCCTCTCACCAATACATCTTTCCTTATCTCTCAAGTCCGCACACGTCTCGTCGGGGTGAAACAGGGGCTTAACAAAACAAAATGCCGTTTCTTAGAAACAGCCCTTTTCGCTTACTCTGCGTGCCTTTTCTCGACATTCTACAGCTCGCTAGGGAGTGATTCTTCTGGGTTTTTTAATGCTATAACTGAAAGTAAAAATCGCTTTGGTTGTACAAAATAATATTAATTAAATGAAACAGAATTCAATACTTTAAAGATATTCGAATCCGCAAGGTTAAGATTTATGGACTCAAATAACAATATCAACCTTGACTACTTACATATAAATCGTACAGCTTTCATATTGTACGTTGGTATTTTATATTAAATCGTCCGGACACTGCAATAGCAATATTCGAGTTAGAAGAAAATCTAATAGTACCATCTGGCGAACTTCCTTGAAATTGAACTGTTCCAGTCACGATTCTATACGATTTATTTATCATGCATACTTTACAAAAGAATTCCATTATTGTAGTAATTCCCAAAGTGTATCTCGCAGCACCCCCTATCTTATACATAATTGATGGGTGAATCTTGGATACATGTTTGAGTTAACAATTGATGGAAATTTTGTAATAATTCTGCAAGGAGTTGATTTTTCTGGAATTATTGAAGATGAACCAAGATGAAGCAGGAAAAACAGTAAAAATTGTTTATTAACAGCAATATTTTATATCTCACAAAGCAGAAGTGATTTTACAAAATCGGGTTGATTATTAGAAAGTAGATGCTTTAATGGATAGTTGATGAGAATTTCATAATAATATTCCATTAAGTCGATTTTTCAGGAATTGGTAAAGTAAACCTACAAAAAAGTGTCAAATCTGCTTATTAACTTCAATAATTTATATCTAAAGAACGAAACGTAATTTTTCGAAACGGATTTGTTTATTACAAACTACACGGTTGAGTTAGTAAGTGGTGAAAATTTCATAATAATTTTTCAAGAAATCAATTTTTCAGGAATTATTGAAAATCAACCAGGAAAAACGGTAAAAATTAATTATCTGTAATATATCATATTTCAAGAACCGAAGTGATTTTTCAAAACGGACTTAATGATTATAAAATAGATGCTTCAATTGTTAATTGGTGACAATTTCATAATAATCTTCCAAGAAATCGATTTTTCAGGAATTGTTAAAGTTCATCCAGGAAAAACGGTAAAAATTAATTATCTGTAATATATCATATTTCAAGAACCGAAGTGATTTTTCAAAACCTTAATCATTGTAAAATAGATACTTCAATTGTTAATTAGTGACAATTTCATAATAATCTTCCAAGAAATCAATTTTTCAGGAAGTGCCAAATGTTATCCACAAAACGACAAAACTGCTAATTAAGTTTAATAATTTATATCTCATGAACTAAATGTGATTTTTCAAAACGGTTTCGTTTATTACGAAGTAGATACTTGAGTTAATAGTTGGTAAAAATTTTATAACAATTTTTCAAGAAAACGATTTTTCAGGAATTATTAAAGTTCATCCAGGAAAAACGGTAAAAATTAATTAACTGTAATAATTTATATTTCAAGAACCGAAAATGATTTTTTAAAACGCACTTGATCGTTATAATATAAAAGCTTCAATTGATAATTAGTGACAATTTTATAATAATCTTCCAAGAAGTCAATTTTTCAGGAAGTGCCAAATGTTATCCACAAAACGACAAAACTGCTAATTAAGTTTAATAATTTATATCTCATGAACTAAATGTGATTTTTCAAAACGGTTTCGTTTATTACGAAGTAGATACTTGAGTTAATAGTTGGTAAAAATTTTATAACAATTTTTCAAGAAAACGATTTTTCAGGAATTATTGAAGATGGACCATGAAAATCAATAAAAAAATTTTAATTAACTATAATATTTTATACATCAAGAAGAAGGAATGATTTTTCAAAATGGACTTCATGGATCATTAGAAAATAGATGCTTTAGTTAATAGTTGGTGAAAATTCCGTAACAATTTTTCAAGAAAGAATTTTTCAGTAATTTTAAAATTACTGCAAAGACCTAAAACTTCTTACTAACTTTAATAATTTATATCACAAGAACCAAGAATCAATTTGCAAAACGGACTTATTCATTGGAAAAAGGACACTTTAATTAATATTTGGTAAAAATTGCATAATAATTATCAAAGAAATCCACATTATTGAAAATTTTATGATTTATATGTTGAGGCCCAAGAGCGACATTTCATTGCAGACATCACGTAGATACTACGAAGAAATGACAACTGTTCCAAAGCAAANCAAGAGCGACATTTCATTGCAGACATCACGTAGATGATGTACCATGATGAAATATTATATATCATAATATATAATAATATATTATATTGTTAAAAATTATTTTCTAGTTCCATCATATCTTACAGTTATGATATTTTTAATACAACTTTGTGCGGTAAATAAAAATTAATTTAAAAAAATCACATCTCAGAAAGAAGATGAAATAATAACCATTTTACAGCAAATTTAATTGTGTTTCAACCCATCAAGTGTAATTTATTAATTCCTATGTAAATGATTCTGTTTGGTTAATAAAGATTAAATTAAAAAAATCATATCTCAAAAAGTAGATGAGATATCAAGATGAAATAAATAACAAGCATTTATTAATTCCTATAAATACTGATGATATGATTTTTTCAATGAATCATTGTAGCGATTAAAGAAAAATTGATAATAAAAAAAATTTATACATTGTATCTCCAAACCTAATTGAGGTACCACAATTGTATGAAAACTATTTTAGAGTAAACTTAATAATTACTGAAATAATATAGATATAGAATAAAGATATACGAATAGTTTGGAAATATTTGGAAACTATTACATTATTGGATTACTAATTTCTTTTTATTTCCGTTAAAACCACAAAGAGTGATTTTCCTCATTTCAACAAATAATTCAACAACAATATCATTTATATCGTTTAACTGAACGGATTTATTTCAGTAGTAATTTCAGAGAGAAATTATAGCCTAGTAACGTGTTCATAACATTGACTCACAAACAATGTCGAAAATTTTATCGCTAATTTCGCGTGGTATTCATTTAAAAGTGATGGCGATGAAAACGCATAAAATTCTCTCCGGTGAATTCGAATAATTTATCATAGAAATGAACCGATACAGATCATTCATGAAATATTTTCCAGTTTTCATAAACACAATAGATCCAATTTAAATTTTTACTACACTTGTAATCTATTTTTTACAAAAATGTAATTACTTAATCTAATTGTTAGTTTATTTTTATAAATTGCGCAATGCTCAAAAAACTTATTTACCGTAAACAAAACATTATTAACTTTAAAAAAAATGAAAAAATCAAGGGAAACAAAACGTCCGTCAAACCGCCTTTCAAAAAAATGAACTCAAAAGTTACCGGAATAATTGAATCATTGAGGTGGAAAAAAAATGGGGAAAAATTAGCAAAGTTCTGTTCCGTCTCCGACACCAGCATCGATTAAAACTTTTTTATTATTTTTTTACCCGAGACGAGAGGATTAATTTTCTCGGTCAGTTTAAATAAAAATAATGATGGAAGTTTTTCAAATCAAGTCGGGGATTTTCTAGAAAAAAAAAGAGAATGAGGTAATACGGCTTCCTGTGTTGTAAGGTTGCGTAATATCATGTAATTTGATATGTTGTTGTTGTTCATGTCGTGAATTGTTCCCCACCATATCAGGTATAAATAGATCAAATCGGAACGTTTGCAAGTTAGTACTTGTTTTACTTTGTTAAAGTGACAATGCAAGGACAATGCTGCGGGCCACCCCATTCTCATGGGTTAAACCATCACGGACATCACCATGGACATCACCACGGACATGGACATCATCATGAACATGGTCAATGTGGACATCCTCACCGTCATCATGGACATGGTCATCATGGACGTGGTCATCATGGATTCGAACATGGACATCGCCATCATCATGATCATCCACATGGAAGACACCAAAATCATGGTGGATGTCGTGGTAAGAATTTAAATTATTTTTTATGTTTTTTATAATGAATAAATAAAAAATATTTTACTTTAGGCCAAGAAAATCATCGCCAAGGAAATGGGATGCCAGCTATATCAGGAAATGCTGCTTAAATATCTCAAAATAAATTAAAATGTTATAAATTGTAAAAGCATTTTTAATTGGTGTTTACTCACTAAATGAAAATAAATAAATGTTTTTGTGTAATTCAAAACAATAAATTAAAATCTGTAGATAAGATTAGATTAGATGTTATAAGAATTGAACGCAATTATGAATTTCAATAAATGAAGAAATAAAAGTTTTATTGTTTTTTTTATTTTAAAATATTTATAAAGAATATTTAATAAACAAAACATCATAAATAAGTTTTATCAGGGACGATTCAAGATTAAAGAATAAAGATTAAAAGTTAGTACTAAAAAAAGTAAAGTTTGCGTCAAATACTTAATTACGTACTTAAAATAAGATGTTTTCGTCATAAAATCTTATATCACATTTAAAAACAGTGGAAAATACAATGAACATCATTGTTAAAAAACACATCTCGGAACTCAAAGCAAAGCGAAACTAAAAACGTTATAAAATGGGTAGAGTTTCGCGCTATCGTACCACTCGAAATTTTAGTGTTACATTTAAAATTGTTTATTTTACAGTTTTAAAGTTGTTTTTGTACACATACTGTTTTTATTTTTTATTGAAGTGTTTGTACATTTTATTGTAGTGTACAAGTTTAAAATTACATCGAAACGAAAGAGTATCGAGATTTCAATGGATAAAAAGTTGAAAAACACTATTATATCGAATTGATGAAATATTTGCAAAGAATTTCGAACGTAATGTTACTTGAGGAATTAATACCTGATCAAATCTATAATGTTGACGAAATTAAAGTTTTTACAGAATGATTTTGAGCATAACATAACTACGACTACAAAACACAACATTCAGTTTGTTATTGTAGGGAAATCTAAGAAACATTGATCCCTAAAGGATATGAATCATTTATTGCCAATGTTTTGCCAACTATAAAAAAGCTTTTTGATACTTTTTTGACTTCGAAATATGTGAATGAAAATAGTTCTCTGCTGGGTCGACCAGAACTCATTAATGGAGGAATTTAACTGTAATTTTAATTCTAAATAAAGATTGTTGATCACAACAAACTTTTTGTACTGCAAAGCATATTGCAAGGTAATTTGGTAACTGACTGAGGTTGCAGCTGACATTCTACAAATATTAGGAACAATAAGTAGGTTCTCAGATGTTCATGTGGAAGCCATCAGTGAGTGGCTGACAGATAATTATGACTGTGATTACGGTATTATGGCAGAAAAAGAAATTGCTTCAATGCAGTTATTGTACATCAATAAACCTGAAGTCAGTGTTGCAATTGAAAGACTCTGAAAGAAAGAAGTCGCAGCAAAACGTTTAATAATTCACTGCTACTTCAATAAGTTGACGTACAATATGAGGTCAGTATAGTCTCATACATGTTAGTATAGTCTCATACATGTCAGTAATGATAAAGCATCACGGGAAAAGTCACGATTGTGGTGAACTTTGTGTTCAAAAATTTAGTCTTAATACAACATCTCTGACACACAACCTAAGTTTTAATTTATCTTAAGAAATTACGAGTACCTATCTTACAACTGTACTTCCCAATTGTGATAGATCAAGGATTTTAAATGATTCACAATATCCCTTTGTCTGCAAACAATCACATTCACTGTTGTTGTTTCTGCAACCTTAAATGCTGCGTTATCAGCATGTTTATTCCAATAAGGCTGTATATCATATAAAAACTTTGCTATATTTTTATTCTAAGATAACATGAAAGTTTAGGTTTGCTGTGCCATTAATATAAAGAATTTTTGCACAGATTTGATACTGCTGAGTGATCATTAATTATTATTAAAAACGTTTTACGTATTTATACTCTAAAATAAGCAAAGTACGTTTAGTGTTAAATGTATTTTAAAGAATCGTGTACGGAATGTGTTAAACCACGACAACTCTCTTTATCGACACAAGTGCGATCGATATCTTGCCTACTCGACGGCTTTACTAACTCGATGGGCCCTAATTTCGAATTCAATTTGTATAAGGACGAAACTTACTTAGCACAGGAGTTGACATATAATTTCGTTCAGGTGGTACCGTCTGGTGAACGCGACGAGCACTAGATGACGATGATGACTATAGAGAGGGTGCGCCCTGCAAACTTCTCAAGAACGCAAACTATTCCAAAAGGTCCTCTTGTCACGTGATCTAATAATCCGGTTCGTTTACTCCGGATTCCTTTTAGACAACTTGCGCAACTTTAGCAAACCTCAACTACGTTCAAACCATGCTTGTATCACATTTAAATCATTAAAAAAAAAGTGAATGTAATAGAATTGAATATCACCGTGTTATCAAAGTACCCCTAAAAAAGTTCGGAAGCAATCATAACTCATGTTGCTGTCAAAACTCCCAAAAGTGTGTTCTAAGCTAACATGTATCTACAACGTTACGATGCCATCGACTCGAATTGATCCAGTTGGCTTATCCGGCCTGAAAATCCAAGCGTAATATCGGCATAAACGGAGGTTATGTCATGGAAGGGGCGACAACGAACGTGGCTTATTGGGATAAAGGTCTGGGGGTTGGCGATCCCCTGCTGTTATTTTGCACGCACGCAGAGCAGACGCTATGCTATTATGGGGGTTGTTTATGGGAATTAAAAGTCATTCGGTAACTCGCCGGTGTATAACTAGGGTTTATGGGGTGTTTGTTCATTATAACGCGTCTTGATTTATTCAAAGTAGCGATGAATAGAACGCGGTTCGTTGGGAAATCGAAAACGATCGAAAAAATCGGCTATTGATAAACATCAATCGGAAGTTAATTAACGGGAGAGGAAGTGATACCCAATTTAAGACTTTTATCAACATGTCAGTCTCGATTCTCGAGTCTACTTCGATTCGAGTGTTTCTCTTTCGAAGCTTTATTTGATTTAATGTTGAGGCGAGCTTTAATCGGATATAGTGGCGTGGCGGTAAAAGGTTTTGCTTTCAACAGGCTCAAAGGGCTTTAACGATATTAATATGGGGGTAGTTTATTTTCTTGCTTATTAACTTGATCTCCATATATTTTAAAGTTATTATTATTATTAAGTTTAGTAATTCCAGTTCTACTCTACACGTATTAATATCAGAGGGAAACATGCCTTCTCAATGCTTCTCAGACAACACCAAACTACAATACAGCCGTTGGAATTCAACTAAACTTGCTTCTAATCTAATACCAAGTAATATCAGTTGCGCACAGGATGGAACGAATTTCGAGGCATGCGGTGCACTTAAATCAGTAAACCTATATGCAGCTGCACTGTTTAATTATCGGATCTCCTCCCCATTCAAAAGCGAAGACGGAATTAATCCATAACGAAGAGAATGTAATTTAATTTATAATGCATATTAAAGTAAAATTTCGATATAACGGGCTAATACAGGGAATGAAGTGTTATATGAAAAATTATTTGTATGTTTAGTAATGCGTTCCTTAAGATGGCTAAACCCGAATGTTTCTAGTTCTAGGTCTAGTGTTAGTTTTAGTTTTACTTCAATGAATAATATACAACAATCTAACGCTGCAAACCATCTTTTGGATATCTTCTAAATGAATTGAGATATTTTGATGACAGATATCTCAAAAGAAAGCCCAAGAAATTAGATTTTCGGGATCATACAGAAAAATCGGTTTCATTATCTAGAATTTTTAGGATTTTATTACTTAGCATAACTTGAAATCTACAAAATACACATGTAAATCATTTTTGGATAACTTCTGTGTTATTTGAGATATTTTGATGATTGATATTTTAAAAGAAAGCTCAATTAATCAAAATTACTGAATTATACAGAAAATCTCGTTTCAGTATTTAGAATTTTTAGCATTTGGTTACTTAGCATAGCTTGAAATCTGTAAAGTACAAATGTAAATCATTTTTTGGATAACTTCTGTGATAATTGAGATATTTTGATGACTGATATCTCAAAAGAAAGCCCAATTAATCAAAATTACTGAATGCTACAGAAAACCCCGTTTCAGTATCTAGAATTTTTAGGATTAGGTTACTTAGCATAGCTTAAAATCTACATAATACTTTTAAAATAATATTCTCTTTGATCCCAAACCTAACCTTAAAACTAACGGTAATAAACATAACCTAGCATTTTTTTGCATTCCGAGATTCGCATTATAGATAAATTCTCGTCGTCTTCCCCACGGCCTCAAATAAACCCAATATGACGTCATCTCACGTACCAACTTCTCGCTTAGAGGTTAGGTTAAAATAAAATTCGGCACTCGCAAAAATAAAATTACCTAAACTAATTCGTCTTCGCATTCCGATTCGAAACGATAAGAATTCGTACGTTTTCAATTATTCATACGCGCGCGCCATCTATGCGGTGGTCCAACGACCTCTCACGGACGTCCCAGATACCAATTAAAAAGGTTCTTCTTGTAATTTAAGAGGACAACCACAGAGCGGCAAATTTAACGAGAATATGTTGGTTTTTCTGACGGGGTTGTTGTGGTAGCAATGTAAAATGGTAAGTTTGGGTGGAAATCGGAGTTGGTAGCGCGAATGGTGGTCGGTGAATANTCTGTGTTATTTAAGATATTTTGATGAATGATATCTTTAAAAGAAAGCAGAATTAATCATAATATAGTGATCATACAGAAAAATCGGTTTAATTATCCGGAATTTTTAGAATTTAGCTACTTAACATAGTTTGAAATGTACAAAATAGATATGTAAATCATTTTTCTGATAATTTCTGTGTTATTTAAGATATTTTGATGAATGATATCTTTAAAAGAAAGCAGAATTAATCATAATATAGTGATCATACAGAAAAATCGGTTTAATTATCCGGAATTTTTAGAATTTAGCTACTTAACATAGTTTGAAATGTACAAAATAGATATGTAAATCATTTTTCTGATAATTTCTGTGTTATTTAAGATATTTTGATGAATGATATCTTAAAATAAAGCCCCATTAATCATAATTTCAGAATAATACAGCAAAATCCGTTTCAACATCTTCAATTTTTGGGATTTGGTTACTTAGCATAGCTTGAAATCTACAAAATAGAAATGTAAATCATTTTTTTTAACTTCTGTGTTAATTGAGATATTTTGATGACTGATATTTCAAAAGAAAGCCCAATTAATCAAAATATCATACAGAATCATACAGAATATCCAGTTTCAGTATCTAGAATTTTTAGGATTTAGTTAGTACACTTATAAATGTTCAAAATAACGATACAAACCTTCTCTTGTATATCTTAGTGATATACAAGTATAATAATTTGTATATCTTCTATATCTCAAAAGAAAGCCCAAATAATAACTATATTATTCCATTATGATACGATCCAATTGAGATTCAGATACTTTCAAAATCTTGTTCTAACCACTAGTTATAATTGTCAAATTAAGAATTGCGCAGTCTTTGATAACTGTTGAATGAATGAAGATATTTTGATGATTCATATCTCAAAAGAATGCTCACTTAATCAGATATCCGTTTTAATGAGTTCCGAATGTACTTATGAAATAAATCCTGTTGATTCTTTTTCGTGAAACTCCAAAGTTTTCATATAAGATATCGGCTTATCAGAATCGAAAATAATTCAAATTTATGGACCCTTATCTGATGCCGCGTACAAACATCGTCGCTTTCGATCCGAGGGGTTTACTCCGATAAAGTTATCAAACTCTCCTGAACCCTTTTGCTCTCGAACAACTCCCCCCTTTCGGAACGATCTGAGCCTGTGGGTTCCACTTTAATTTTACATGATAATAAGAAACGTGGTGGAGATGACTACAATTAGCGGTATTACGCTAATTTAATACCATCTGATTACAACCGCCGACACGTGTGCGACTAATTTCGTGACAAAGCTCGTCCGAATTTAATTTAGGGAGTGTCGTTTATGTTATTATGATTGTTTTAGGAGCCTTTTTTGACTTTTAAATGATTCAATTTAAAATTTTTAAATCAACTTAAAATTTAAAAGAATGAAATTTAAATTATTTTATGCAAATATAAAAAAAGGCTTGTTTTTTGGAGTCCCGTATATATTTTCACTGCTTTAAATATTATTAATATTTCCAAAAGCAAATGTTTAAATTGGAATATCAACGAAACACCACCTAGTACAAATATAGAACACAATGCCTCTATAGTAACGAATAAAAATATATTTGGGTTTTAAATTGTCGGTTGTTCACGTTACCATGTGTATGTGCTTTTAACAAAATTACACATTTCGTTACAACAAAAAAAAACGAAATATTATATTTATCTGCAAAAAAATGATCACTCTCTGGGCTGTAAAATAATTAATAATCCCGGGACGTTCGAAATATTATGATTGTGTATGCATGGCTTATAAAACACATTCATCTCCAGTTTTTTTTGTTGTTCGTAATTAAACAAAGTGGTCAGTTCGGTCAGTGCAATCACTCTCAAATAAATCGAACCCATAACAACAATGTTAAATCTATACGTGAAACACATACAAATACACAAGAGAGGCCGCCACTGCACAGAGTATAAATACTCTACCTAACTGGTATTAATGGTGTGGAAGTTTTATAAGCCCAATATTAATGGTTAGTGCGGAACTATATCTCTATATTCTCACTGCAGCCCTTAATGTTAGTCCGTTGCATGAAACTTTCGCAATGTTTTATTTTACTTTTAGCAGAAGGGCGATATACGTAATACAATACTTGATCTATTGTTCGGGAGTTGAGCTAAATTATACACATGATATTATACCGAGCACAACGGTATATTTTTATTGACCTATATGCTGCGGTGTGTTGGGTTATGTGTGCAAATACGCCTATTGCATACATTATCTCAGAGAACAATGGAGTTATATCGGTACAATTTGTTTCAATTCGTGTTTATCAACATGACTCATCATTAAGTAGGAAGTAAAAGTTATTCTTCATATTATAGTGGGTAGTTTTGTTTATTAATGAACATTTATTTAACTTAATTTGGTATTGTCTCTATCTTTGTATTTGAATTATGGGAGGAATCAAATGTAATCAGAAATTTAATCGAACTTGCATTTAGTTGGATGATTAACTGTTGTATAATTCTGTTAATTAATTAACTGTTATAAATCCGGAATCAATTCTCTGTTTTATGAATAAGCACCTGAAATTTCTCGACGTGCGATATAATATCAGTATAATGTGAACCCCAAGTTGTGTTGAAAGCTTAACGTAAAGCACATATGTCAAGTCAAAGACGACTGAAATAGTGTTGTACGTGTAACAGAAAACGTTGTATAGTGAAGTGTAGATGAGAATATCTCAAAAATAGGGGCCAATACGAGAAAATGTTTTCTTTATTTTCGATTTTGAATTTATTTTTCATTTTAACAGTGTAATAAAATTATAAATTTATTTACACCACATCGTTGTTAATATAAATATGAACCTTTATACCATAATTAACAAAATTAGTCTTACAATTAGATAATAAAAGGTTTAGATGATTTATATTAGCAATTCTAATTATTTTACTTCAAAGAAACCACCCCTATGTTTTCGCGAAACGAATTCATTCGTGGAGGGTGGAAAAATCTACTTTGATCGCCTGTATCCCGGTCAAAAACCTCGATTTCCGCTTAAAATATCGCCCCCCTAGCGTGGAAAAGCTACCCGCAGGATCCAGCTAATAAAACGGCTTTATAAGGAAACGCAGCATCATTTGTATCGTCTTGGGGGCGAACCTCGAAAGTCAATAGCCAGCCTGGCCTCGACTTCACCGTATATATGAGAAAAGAGGGTCTCACCACCGAGAAGACTCAGCGGGAGCATAAGACGTCGCGACGGAAAAAGGCGAAGGAATGCTCGAGTTGTACTACGAGGGGTCCCTGGCATACGTATCGCCTTATATGCATTTATATTGCACGAGGGCACACGGTATGCGGCCGTGCTATCGGATGTAATGCATGGGAAAATGCGGCGCCAACTAAATGTGTCCAACCAACGTCGTCCTCGTCGTCGGGGGACTTGTTTATTGTAATTCCAAAAGAGAATTGCTACAACGAGTTATGTTATTATGTAACTGGGACTATTCGCAATTTGAATATTGACTTTATAAGGAAAACTTGTGCTATAAAAAAAATCTTACCGATATCAGATGATCCTCCCCATGTTCCTTGTTGAGCTTGTTTCGCCAACTTGCTTATAGCATCTACATACATTCTTGAAGCTGCTGCAGCACCTGAAAAAAAAAATTATATATAAATATAGTTTAATTAATTTTATTTATAACTACAGTAAAATCTCGATATAACAGATTAATACCGGGAAGGGAGTAGCCAAAAGTCTGTTATATGAAAAATTTTTAATTTGCACTTTAAACTGCTTTTGGCCCACTTTTACCATCCTCCTGACAAACTATCTAGAGGATAGTTGCCATGGTTACGGCAGTTTTAATCGCTCTCATTGGCTAAGAGCTGAATTTATCTATCCGATAAATGTATCAAAAGGTGGTAAAAGTGGCCCTTAAACACTTAAACGCAGTATTAGTTATAGTTTTACTTCAATGAAAAATATACAACAATCTAACGCTGAATAACAACTAAAACAGAAAAATCCGTTTCAGTATATGAAACTTTTAGGATTTATTTATTTAGAGTAGTTTGTAATGTATAAAATAGAGCTGCAAATCATCTTTTGGATATCTTCTAAATGAGTTAAGATATTTTGATGACAGATACAGTGAAATTCTCCTAACTCGAATCACTAAGGGAGCGGAAAAAAACTTCGAGTTATGGAGAATTCGAGTTAGAGAAAAATTAGTAGAATTTCAGCTCTAAAGAAAAACATTAGAAATGTACTTTTCTAATACGTATATTTAAAACAGAAACCTTAATAGTATTGTAAGTAGAAAATTAATCAAGTTTTTTAAAGTAATCCGTAATTTTCTTTTGGCTAAAAGTGGACAACCGCTCTTCTATTAAATGTAAAGAATTATGAATATTATCTACAACATTCTCTCTTGATAATACAAAGGTTTCAAGCTTTCTAAGATAGGAATAAGCTTCATCAAATGTAGGCACAGCGATAAGTATTTCATTTTCAAAATTATCATCACCGTCATCTGATTCTGAAACAATAAGAACATTAAGTTTATTTTGGTTCAAGAGTCTGTAGTTTCTAAGCCTGAGTCTATGTGGTTTGATTCTGTAGATAAAATTACTTACAGAACGGATTCGAATATTTTGTTCTTTGGTAAATTCGACTTATAAGTAGAGGTAAATGTTGAAAAAATTCGAGTTATTGAAATTCGACTTAGGCCCACTTTTGCCACCTCTTGATAAATTTATCCGATAGATGAATCCAGCTCTTAGCCAATGAGAGCGCTTAAAACCGCCGTAACCATGGCAACTATCCTCTAGATAGTTTATCAGGAGGATGGTAAAAGTGGGCCTAAGGTCCATTACTACCATCTTTTAGATAAATTTATCTTATAGATAAACCCATCTACTAGCCAATATCTAAAAGATGGTAGTAATGGACCTTAGAGAGATAAAAACACATATGAAACTTAGTCAAACGTTTGAGCTTAAGAAAATTATTCGAGTTAGAGGATAATTCGAGATATAGAAGTTCGAGTTAGGGGAATTTCACTGTATCTCAAAAGAAATCTCAATTAATTAGAATTTCGTCATCACATAGAAAAATCGGTTTCATTATCTAGAGTTTTTAGAATTTGGTTACTTAGCTTAGTTTGAAATCGACAAATAGAGATGTAAATCATTTTTTTGATAACTTGTATATTAATTGAGACATATTGATGACTGATATCTCAAAAGAAAGCTTAATTAATCGTAATTTCAGAATTATACAGCAAAATCCATTTCAGTATTTTGAATTTTTAGGATTTAGTTACTTAGCATAAAAATCTACACAATAGAGATATAAAAGCATTTTTTGGATAACTTCTGTGTTAATTGAGATATTTTGATGACTGATATCTCAAAAGAAAGCCCAATTAATCAAGATTTCCGAATCAAACAGAAAATCGCGTTTCAGTATCCAAAGTTTTTAGGATTTGGTTACTCAGCATAGCTTGAAATCTACAAAATAGAATTGTAAATCATTTTTTGGATAATTTCTGCTTTAATTGAGATATTTTGATGACTGATATCTCAGAAGATAGTCGAATTAATCAAAATTTGAGAATCATATAGAAAATCTCGTTTCAGTATTTAGAATTTTTAGGAATTGGTTATTTAGCATAGCTTGAAATCTACAAAATAGAAGTGTAAATTATTTTTTTGGATAACTTCTGTGTTAATTGATTTATTTTGATGAGGGGTATCTCAAACGAAAGATTTTAAGCATAGTTTGAAATATATAAGGAGGTATAAACCATCTTCTTGATAATTTGTGAGTGAATTGAGATATTTAAATAACTGATATCTCAAAAGAAAGCCCAATTAATCATAATATCGTGATCATATAGAAAAATATGTTACATCATCTAGAATTTTTAGGATTTAGTTACCTCCTCTTGTATTTGTATTGCAATGTTTTACTGTATGTGCCCCACTTGTGTGTGTGATGACTATGATTAAATGAAGTAAAACTACAATGTTCGGTTTTTAAAAAAAAATAGGGTTTCCTTTAATTTAATTAATTACAATAATAATAGTTTTAACTATGAGACTCTAATTAAACTCAAGGTTTTGGGCAAGTTCAGTTAAAAAAAAAATAAATTTCTTTTGAATTTAAATTAAATTTCTATCGATGAGAGGTAAAACTTTTAAATAAAAACAGAAAACTACAATTATCGACTGAAAAATCGATCTGAGAGAGAACACCTTTATTTTTTATCTTTTTGAGAGAACAGGGTAGAAAACTCGTTATATACGTCCTTGAAATAAAAATGGCTAACGTTTTAAATTGAAATCAAACTCGTGAAAAAATAGTGTTAAAAGAAAGTGAACGTTACACAAGAAAAACTGAAAAATCTTTACCCACAAGTAAGTATTGATAATGAATTATAAAGGAGACTCTTGTGAGTTGTCTTTGAATTTAATTAGTTAATTTTTCTTTTATAGGTTATGTTAAATAAAAAAAAATAAATTATCAACCGACTCACTGCGAAGAAAAAGGGTTTGGATTCAATGTGATAACAGGATAAAGGATTTTCTCTTGGTTTCGGAGTTCGAGCTAGTTTTCTGGATTGGTTACTGGATTCTTCGTAATTTCAGGTCTCTCCCGGTTTATTCGGGATTGTCTACAGGATTCTTCTGACGGATGAGTGGACTGTTTGTCCTTCGGATTTGAATCTTGGATGACTTCGAAGATGTTTCAGGAGTTCTCGGATAGGTTTGAGGTTAGTTCAATTATTTTATAATTTTGAGGTTATTTTTTTTTTTAACTTTGACGTTTTGAATTGACTCGTTGGCCTTGCGGAGATTTAATTTTTGTTTTTTTTTACTGTCAATCGACGCGAATTCATTGTTGGTCAGATGACGACTGTCTCCTGTTTGCTTACGATTTCCTTTTATACTCGGCCCCCCTCCTGTTTCTTCCTCGTTTCTGATTGGTTCTTAGGTTCGCGCCTTTTTCAAAATTTGAAATTTTTGCGTCAAAATTAGCGTCATCTCTCGGATCATCTCGGATTTTCTTGGAACTAACCTTCAAAATTAAATTCTTTTTCCGTTAATTTCTCCCTTATTCCTTTATGAATCGTAATAAAACTTCGTATTCATCGTTGTCTTTTCTTGTTTTCAGATATACATTGGAGTACACGCCAAACTCCATCAAAGAGTAAAGTTAGAAAAATTCAATTTTAAATCAACGATTTCTTCTTCAAAACAACGTTAAAACATCAAAGGATGGATGAAAAATGTGCTTTAGGAGCTGAACTAATTTAATTGATACCTTTGGAAGCAAACTAAACGGTTTTAAATAAGATTTCTACCAACAAAAGTTTCTCTGTCAAAATTTTATGGTTATGTTTTTCTCGATGAACCATAAAGTGGTTATTTTTAGTGAATTGAGATATTTCGATGGATTATATCTCAAAAAAACCCCGAATAATAACTATTTTATTCCGTTATAATACTATCCAATTGAGATTCAAATACTTTCAAAATCTTATGCTAACCACCAGCTATAATCGTCAATTTAAGAATTGCGTATTTCTTTGATAACTTCTAGGTTTATTGTTCGTTCTAGTTTTAGTTCAATAGAAATGTACTAACACTAGACCTAGAACTAGAATCATTTGGGTTTTATAGTTTTACCATTTATTAAAAAGCTGAATCAATAAAATGAAAAAAATAAAACGAGAAAAAAACGAAGGATTGTTCCAAAAGGGCTTTCAATCGCTGCCAAAGCAGGACATCATTCGGTATAAAAGCTTATTTCCTGATGTACTACTTGAAACGGTTCCAAGTAACGGGATAGCTTCGGGACGGTTGCTTTTATGCTCGGCCGCTGCCAAACGTCATAACAAATAAGGACACGTTCGCTAAGCTAAAGCCCCCTGAGCTCCAATTTGCATTTCGCCATTGCAGCCATCGCGAGTATTTGTAACATAAAATAGGGTGGTTGTACGTGATTCCTGCGGGATTACAAAGTCGCCACATAATCTAAAACTTTTGAGATACAATTTAATTTAAGATTTCTCTAAACTAACTAACACAACTCCATTTGTCTATTATTTTAATAATTTATACTTGTATCCGGAGCCGTTGTATAACCATTTCGTACAAACACTGTAGTCAAAGAGTCATTATTTACTTCCGGGTCTTTATGTGGATATAATTAGGCACCCTCCCCTGAGTCATTCTCGGATTAGAGTAATTAAAGTAGCTTAAAGGAAGTTGGTCCGTCTGGGAATACGAAATAGTCAGGCGCAACTAAAATACCGCTTTGTGCTAATCGATATTTTACGCGAAAAAATCTAACAATTTATAACGGTTTATTCGAGATAGAGTAATCAAAAATTTAAACTGAACTAATTAAACCGTTGAAATGTATTGAAAAATTTAATTAAATTGCTAATGGTTAAAACAGGATGATTGAACGTTGTGTTTCACCACACTAAATCGGAATTGTATTCAATTTATTTATTCTATTATTAGTTTTCTAGAGAGTGTAAATAAAAAGTAATTGAATGGGTGTTATGTTATTGATTACTGTTCTTCATTTATAATTGAACGTTGAAGAAGCGGGTAGAAACGCTATTAAATTGTAAAA